GCAACACTGAAAAAAATTGTCTGCAAGTGAAATAGCTATACACTTTCCAAGAAATCCATCATAGCAAACAATTTCTCACATGTTCCATAACTCCTAAGACCAGCAGATTTGTAAAGTTAAAGCCAAAACCTTTATCGAAAGCAACATCAGAGAGAAGCACACATGAAACTGTACAACAATGAATCTTGGATGGCATTAAGTGGGACACAGTTTTGTTTTCCAATGAGAAATGTTTTAATTTAAGTGTACATTATTATTAGCATGTTCTCAGATCAATACTTGTGATCCAGATGAGTCATCAAAACCACTGTGGTTCACTGATGGTTTGGGGAGCAGTTTCAGCAAGTGAAAACAGATTTAATCATTGTATGAAGAACAATGAAATCAGGAATATACATCAGCATTATTCACACATAAGCAAGAAGCCTTTGCCTAGCCTTTTGGAGAAATTTTTTGTTTCAGAAGGATAACATTGTGTCACTTCTTAGGCAACAATGAAACAGATGAGTGACCATGGAATCAATTACATAAAGTGGACTGCTGATCATCTGATTTGAATGTTATGTAAAATATGTGGAGCTACATGGTTTGTTATATATATATATATNTATAATGTAACATGTTACAGAAAGGTGTAAATATGACTTTTATTTTAAAACTTAAAGCTAGAAAACAAAAAATGAAAACTTTAACCTGTTCATAAGTATAAAGCCAGTTAAGAAATGACTTTAAAAGTTTAACTGATATTGTGATTAGAATGATATTGTCCTTCTTTGTTTTTATGCATTCAAAAATTTATTTTAGCATACTCCACACCAGTTTTTAAAGAAAATTTACAGGAATGAAATCCCACAGCTTCTTCCAGTTCGAAAATCAATAAAAGTAGCTTTTATTAATTTTTGAACTGGAAGAATTTAAAAGAGGACTGATGAGGGACATGATATCTGAAATGCATAAACTCAGAAACAAATAAAAGTCTACATTTCCATCTTAGTCATGTTCCTGTGTGATTTGTTCTCTAATGCAATTTTATGCTTACTCATAATGAAAGCTGTTTTTCATTATGATATAGATATATATATATATATCTATATCATAATGAAAAACAGCTTTCATTATGAGTAAGCATAAAATTGCATTAGAGAACAAATCACACAGGAACATGACTAAGATGGAAATGTAGACTTTTATTTGTTTCTGAGTTTATGCATTTCAGATATCATGTCCCTCATCAGTCCTCTTTTAAATTCTTCCAGTTCAAAAATTAATAAAAGCTACTTTTATTGATTTTCGAACTGGAAGAAGCTGTGGGATTTCATTCCTGTAAATTTTCTTTAAAAACTGGTGTGGAGTATGCTAAAATAAATTTTTGAATGCATAAAAACAAAGAAGGACAATATCATTCTAATCACAATATCAGTTAAACTTTTAAAGTCATTTCTTAACTGGCTTTATACTTATGAACAGGTTAAAGTTTTCATTTTTTGTTTTCTAGCTTTAAGTTTTAAAATAAAAGTCATATTTACACCATTCTGTAACATGTTACATTATATCATCATTCATTCAATAAAAATTTTTGTATGTTTAAAGTAATTTAAATGTTGTAAAAAAGGGCTGATGAATTTACTATTTAAAAAAAATGTAACAGACTAAAACTGTCTTCACTTTTTGCCATGTCCAACCACCAGGAACAACAGTCTTTCATAGCACAGACGTCCTTTCTTTAGAGGCTACGCCTCTGCAAAAAATGCAAAACAGTCTAAAAGTTCACAGGTGACAATCCCAGCACAGTTAATGTACAGTTGTGCCTCATATAACATACTTAATCCGTTCCAGATGCACGTCCGTTAAGTGAATAGTTCGTTATATGAAACGCATTTTCCCATAGAAATACATGTTAAAACATATAATTTGTTCCGCAGCATTAAATAACTGTACTGTACCATTAAAAAAAATGAAAATGGAGCAGTCACCAATTATGCCGGGTAATCAGATGTTATGAGAAGGCGGTGGAGGAACACTTTCTTCACATATTCATACAGATACAGACTTCTTACATTGCAGTGGGTCTTTTTTTTTTTTTTTATTGTTTTTTAATCAGATTCAGATTCAGGAGAGGCTATCAGAGCTTGCAGGGTCAACTCCTCTTGTTCCATCCTTTGTTTTTTCCCTGCTGGCTTCTTGAAAAACATGTCCAAGGTGGTCTGTTTCTCTCTCTTCTTCAACACCTGTCGGAAATGACGGGCAAGGGTGTCATTGTAGAGATCATTAATACTGTTGGCCTCGCTCTTTTTGGATAATGAGTGTTGGTAAACTCCTGAACCTCTCTCCATTGGACAAAGGAAGTTTTTGTCAACTTTCAGTCCTTCTGATGATTTCTTGCATTGTTTCAATTGAAATCAATTTTCTGTTTTTTTAGAAGCCATGATTTGCACAACACTTGAATAAATGTAAATACCCTGCACTGTGTTGATGTACCTAATAAACAAGGGAGCAAGCCGAATCCCAACGGGAGCTCTGTACTTCAGATATACTGATAATATATTCTAATAATACTAATATATTATAAAAATAGCAGATTGTCATTGGCAACAGTAAAAGAGTGGAAACATCATTCGCACTTGTTCGTAGAAAGTCCATTGGTCGCCTCACATACCTACCAAACGGAAAATCCGTTGTCCGCAACCAGTCCGTTGCTCGAGTCACGTAATGGCCAAACAGAAAGTCCGTTATTCGCAGCGTCCATTATTTGAGGCGTACGTTATACAAGGCACCACTGTATAATATTTCATTTGTAATGTTGTTCCTGGTGATTGGACATGGCAAAAAGTGAAGATAGTTTTAGTCTCTGTTACATTTTTTTAATATAAATTTTGTTGGTGGTCTTATACGAGGGTCGTCCCAGAAGTACCTGACCTGACATAGATGGCGATACTTGTTTGAAAAAAAAAAACAAAAAAAACAACTGTGTTCGAAAGTATCAACCTTATAAAGCTTAAGTTTGAAGACATTACGTTGTATAGTATTTTTTTTGGCAGCCATAAATAGTGAACAATCTCAGTGAATTTGTAAACATGGAAAAAATTTTTCATTGTTATGTGATACAATACTTTCATTTGAAAGGTTTCAGTCCAACCAATATTAAAGCTGAGCTAGATTCTACTCTGGGGGAGTCTGCTCCCTCATTTACAACAATAAAATATTGGGTGGCAGAGTTTAAACGAGGCCGTACGAGCTGCCAAGACGAACATCGTAATGGTCGACCAAGTGAGATGACTATGCCAGAAATGGTGGAAAAAATCCACAAAATGGTATTGGATGACAGTCAACTCAAAGTGCGAGAGCTAGCAGACATGGTAGGCATTTCAAAAAGTGCTGTACATCACATTTTAACTGAAAATTTGGACATGAGAAAGCTGTGCGCAAGATGGGTGCCACGTTTGCTCACAATGGGACAAAAACAGCGACGTGAGGATGTTTCAATCGAGTCTTTGGCAATGTTTCGCAGCAACAAAGCCAAGTTTTTGCGTCGATTCATAACCATGGATGAAACATGGGTCCATCACTTCACACCTGAGACGAAAGAACAGTCGAAACAATGACTGAAAGGGGAGAATCAGCTCCAAAGAAGGCGAAAACAGTTCCATCTGCTGGCAAGGTCATGGCTTCAGTTTTTGGGATGTGCCCAGGAAAAACAATCAACGGCAAGTATTATGCAAACTTATTGCAGCACTTGAGTGATGAAATCAAGAAAAACTGCCGCATTTGGCAAAAAAGAAAGTGTTGTTTCATCAAGACAACGCACCAGTTCACATATTGCGATGGCCAAAATCAATGAGTTAAGGTTCAAATTGCTTCCTCACGCACCCTATTTGCCAGATTTAGCTCCCTCGGATTATTTTCTCTTTCCAAACTTAAAAAAATGGCTTGGTGATAAAAGATTTGAATGAATGCCAACAATGAAGAATTGAATGCCAAAAATGAAGAGGTGGAGTCTGTAGTTGATGGCTATTTTGAGAAGCCCAACAGTTCTCACTATAAACAGGAGATCGAAGCTATTGTGCATTGCTGGAAAAAGTGTATTGAGCTAAAAGGAGACTATGTTGAAAAATAAAGATATGTTTTACCAAATTTTTTGTCTTCTTTGTTAGGTTGGGTACTTCTGGGACTACCTTTGTAATTTCAAGCAGCAGTGTATTCCCTCTAATGTATAATCAGAATGTTCAATTATGTTTTGGTATATAGTGTATTAATAATGCTTCTTCAAAATATAAGTTGATCTATAATAATTACAGATAATTTTATTACTTGCATTGGGCATTAGACTCCTCATTATATACAGAACTATGACTAGAAATACAAAACAATCACTGTAATTCATTATTCTGTTTTACAGCAATAAATTTTTAACTTATAATTTGATATAAAAATTTGATAAGTAATTGCCACAATGAATTCAAATAATAGATTACTGTTTTTTTTTCAAGACCTGAAACTAATCTCTTTTACATCTCAGTTATTTTTCTATCACAGTAATAACAATATCAATTTCTATCACACTAATACCTTAAATCACTATTTCAGCACCATTTTAATCTTCTGACAAATGTTTCTGGCTAACTTCATAAACCTACCCCAGGTTTGTCTTAAAATTATCAAATCTTTATAATTTATATTAATTAATAAATTTTCGGGATCGCCCATGCAGGTCAATGAGGTTAACATGAATATTTTCGGAATCAACGTAGGACAGGTTAATACATTGAAATATTTTAATTTAATATTTTCTATCAAATGAGTTTTTCAAGAAGCATTTCTTTCTTTCTCTACGTATTTCTGGGTTATACCTATGTGGCACCCATTATACGCTGTATCTAGTGTGTTGAATAAAATATATCTGTATAAAAATCTATGTATTTAAAAATAAATGAATTTTAATTTATATCATACTAGTTTTCATTGACAATTATTATGTATATCATGCATATTTAATTATTTACCTGTGGCACACGTAAAATGTGGATATATCATCCGATCTTCAGCTGGATTCTGAACCAAATACATCTTAAGTATGAATTCACGTGCTGCAATATGATCTTGTTTTGGACCTAAATAAGAAAAGAATAGTTTCATCACTTAAGCTACAAAAACATTTTTATGCGCAAGTTTTATTATTATGTTGGGTTTTGTGAGTTATACTCGGTTCACACCAGTGGCTGTGTACTATGCCAGACCAAAGTAAAGGCATAGCAACCAAAACAAAACTAAAATTAAATAAGTGTGTCAGTGTCTGTATTCAGGAATTTCCTAACAATGTGGCATGTATTCAATATAGTGGCCTTCTGTAGTGTGATGTATGTACTTCTACTCAATTGTAATGTTCCCAGGCTTTTGTGTAGTGTGTGTGGTATCACACCTGTACAGGAGAGAATGACAGGTACAATAAGCACCCTATCCATCCTCCACAGATGCCTTATTTCCTGCGCGAGTTCTGTGTACTTGCTAATTTTTTCAGTGCATGTGTTTTGTACATTGTGAGTGTTTGGAATGGCTATGTCTATAATGTATGTGATTTTATTGTGTTTGTCAATGAGTGTGATGTCTGGTCTGTTGTGGTAAATTGTTTTATCTGTGATTATGGCTCTGTCGCAGTACAGTTTGTGCATGTTGTTTTCCAATACTGTCTGTGGAATGTATTTGTAGTATGGTTCGTGGATGTCTACCAATTTGTGTTTCTTTGCAAGCTCTTGGTGTATTATATTTGCTACTTAATTGTGTCTATGTAAGTAATCTGTCTGTGCCAAGAGCTTGCAACAAGAAGTGATGTGTTAGCAATAACTGTAACACAATAAGCAATAACTGTAACATACAGCAGATCCTTGTCTTAAGTATAGTTTCTGGCATGATGTGACATTTTCTGCATGTGTCATTTGTGAGTGTTGTATCTTTGAGTATGTTTTTTCTGTAGTTTTTAGTATTTATGACCTGATCCTGTATGGCAATCATGAATCCTTCTGTCTCCCCAAAGAGGCATCCTCAATCTAACCAGCTGTTTGACACAATTTTGTCAACTTATTATTATTATTATTACAGGCTATTCTAAATGATATGTATACATTAACAATATTCATTAAAATTCTACTTTGACCTCTTATTTTCCCAACTTATGTAAATTATCTACTAATCATTATCTTAATCACAATAAGCAATAACTGTAACATACAGCAGATCCTTGTCTTAAGCCAGATGCACACATGTGTTGTGGCAAAGAAAAGCGGTGTCACAAATGCATCTTCGCTGTGCAACAACACAGCCACACAAACGGCAATCCACTTACATTTCGGCGCATGCGTTCAGTATTCAAGATGGCAAACAATACCGATATTGTCGCTATCTACGTGTTTACAAATTTTGTTTTGTACGGCTTGCTTTATTTAGTTAGAAGATTTGAACGAAGATTTTGGATTAGAGATATTTTCTTGGATTGATAAAGAACTGGTGTACAAAATATGCTTATTCCTCGATAAAGAATACTATTTCAAGTAAGATTCGGTTGTTTTGTTCTTTGAATTAAATTATATATGATTATTTGTGTAGAATTTGTGTTAAATTTATTTTAAACCTCTTTATTCTGATGTTAGTTATCTCAGTTAACGGCGTCAAACTTTCTGCCATTAAAACACCACATGATTGTATTTTCTCACGTGACTACTGGACGAACTGTTATTGGCTGATAGAAACACATCTTGGCGGCGGTTGCCGCAAAAGATAAACTTCAGCCAACTTTTGCGGCACGAGAAAAGTGGCACAAAATCGACTTCTGCAGCGAGAAAAAGTGACATCATCCTGCTGCTTTACCTTGCTGCGCTGCATGTGTGCTCTGGCTTTACCATGGTATTCAGTGCAATCATGGTTCCAGCATATTTGGGACTAGAACAGTGTCAGATTAAGGAGATTGATGGATTATTGGAAGTAAGGTGAATTGAATGGTTAATCATTCAGAAAGAAAACATTTATTTATTCGCAAGATATTATTTCATTGTATTAATCAAAAATATATATAGACTATCAAGAAAATATAAGAAAGCAATTATATGTTACTGTATTTTAGAGTTCTCAAATTAATTGACAATCTATAATAACAAAAACAAAGATTGATTACTAATTGACAATCCTTTTAAAATAATTTTCAATTTGATTCTGATGAAACCGTGTTGTTGTTATTAAGCTGTTTCTTTGCAGACACACTAAGGTGACATATATCAACACTTGGCAACTTATTGACTATTTATTCAGTTGGATAAATAGTCAATAAGTTGCCAAGTGTTGATATATGTCACCTTAGTGTGTCTGCAAAGAAACAAAATAATTTTCAATTGTTTTTAAAGCCTGAGCATGCTACCATTGCTTGTAGTCAGCATTGCCAAGTTGGTGGATTCCAACTAAATTTAGTAGGAAATTGATGTTTCCCTGAGAAATTTTGCGGTGATAGTATTTTTGGTAGGAAATTTCAGGAGCTAATTTTTATTTTTATACAGTATTGCTTTATAAGATACTGTACCTTTTTTCAGCAGACTGTGATGATGGGCCTAATAATCTTTAATATCATTCCCAAATGCAAGTGTTCAAGCTCAGACTCAATATCATGCTATGTTTAGTGGGAAGGTGCTCAAATTTAATGGAAACTGGAGTCTGATGTCCCAAATTAGGTAAGACAGTCCTGTTTTTTAAACTGTTTGAAATATGTCCCACTTTTGGACTGTTTCATAATTATGTTCAAAAGAAATCAATATTTTCATTGCATGAACTGTAATTCAAAGAAGAATCATATACAAGTTATAGTGTAAAATTTTAATATCCAATTTATAAAAACAGCAGACCAATTGCGATTGCTCAGTCTGGAAACTTTGTCTGTCAGAGACCAGTGAATGTATACTATGTGCAAGTACCAGTCTTGTAAATCAGTTATAAAAGGAAACTGGTGATTAAAGCAAACAAAACTACAATTGAAGTCATAATTAATTGTTTATTGCCGCTAATGCTCCAGGTTAATAGTGAACATTTTTTCTTGGATGAGGCTGCAAATGAACTTAGCAGGCTGCATATTTTTTTTCTTGTGGAGTTTCAGATTATGCTTGCTGAGTACCAAAACTGTCATATGCTAATGATATGCAAAATAGTAATACAGTGGAACCCCGGTTAACGAACGTCCTGGTTAACGACCAAATCGGTTAATGAACTATTATTTTGCAAAAATTTTGTCTCGGATAACGAACAAAATTCGGATAACGAACTTAACGGCTTTTTTGTGTCAAATTTGTAAGCTTGCCGACTTTTAGGGAAAATCAGTTAATCGTGTGTCGGTGATGGTCTAGGGTCCATTCGTACGTTGGTGGTGGCGGAGGAGACAAAGATGACAAGTATTTTACAGTGAAAATCGTTTATTAGAACGGGAAGATGCTTACATATTTGAGGTAGTTGGAAATGGCTTATCTACAGTATTTTCTCTCGGCACTGAGGAGTGGCGTATCGCTGGTCCTACGATAGTGCAAGCTGATCAGTCGTAGCCCCAGAGCGGACGAGATGGGTTCGCTTGGTCACAGAAGCGATGGTAGGTGACAGAGCTGCAACGACTGGAGCGGTCCGCGAGACACAACACAAATTTTAGCGGGCACGACTTCAGGCTTAATCCAGATGAAGACGACACAGATTAATCGCCATAGAATTTTTAGGAAAACTGCGTTTTGACCTTGAGATTCGGGGTTTTTATAGTATTTCTTCCTTGAATCTCACCTTACGATTTGTCCTGCGTCCCATTCCTCGCTTCCCGATTGTTTTCTTCTTTGTCTCCAGGTGAAAACCGAAACCAGATCAGGTCACGAGAAAGGTTTGTTCCGAGGCGTTTATTTGACACCTGTTCGTCGACTCTGATCGGAGATTGTTGATAAACCTACAAGCCTTTCGCTCATAATTTAGCCTATTGTTTCTGCTATTTGTCATTTTAGAACTTTAACGATCGTATGTGATGTTTTATATACCCGTCAAATCTTTCCTTTTTTTCCGAAAATTTAACGTAGATCGACTGTTTATGAGTACGTTTTCCTATATTTTCATTAAAGAAAACCCATTTTACAAATAAAATTACAAAAATACGACGGCTAGAACGGATTAATTGTATTTGCATTAATTTCTATGGGAAAAATTGCTTCGGTTAACGAACGGACTCGTGGAACGGATTACGTTCGTTAACCGGGGTTCCACTGTATATATTTCCTTTGCTGTTGGGATCACCAACTATATTTATATTAAATAATATTTGAAAATTCTATAATCTAATATCTTCACAATTTGTCTTTTTTACACCCTGGGATCAGATAATGTAGTTTGATCTAGCAGAGTCAAATTTTTATTTGGAGAGTCTCACCTGCCTCAATATGCAAAAAACATGTTAAAATCCTTCTAGTGATGGCACAACTGTAATATTATATTAAAACAATTAATACAGGGCAATTATAAAATCTATTTATTTTTGTGAAAATACTAACAAAATTATTTGTTTGCAGGTCATGTAAAACATTCTGACCATGAAGAGAGAATCACTATGGTTTGTGCAAGTTTGAATGGATTAAAATTAACATATACAAAAGTAGAAATATCACTTGAAAATTCAAGAAGCCTGCTCCCACTAGAGCCAACATCAGACTTTTAATTAACAAAATCTGGAAAACAGTTAATGTACACAATGCACAATGTTCAGGGAGATCCATTATACTGGAAAACAGTTCAATGTGTAGAGACTGAAATAACAGAGTCACAGATGTTCAACAAGGAGGCTTAGATGGGAGCTCAGTATTCCACAACTGACAGTATGAAAGATCTTCCATATAAACCCTTGAAATGTGCATATTGTGTCCAGGTGTTGCATAAACTGGAGGCAGAGGACTATGCCACCTGCCAAACAATGTGTCATGATCTCTTGGAGGACGTGGAACAAGATGATTTGATGGTACTATCAAGTGCATTAATCAACTGAAATGTGCAACAAACCTCAGTGATTCTCTCGTATATTTCACATAACCTCCAAACAAATGATTTTGTTAGCATTTTCACAAAAATGGACATACTTTATGTCTGGATATAATTGAAAAAGAAAAGTGTTCTCAGTGAGATAACACTTTTTATTTTTTTTTATTAAAATATCAAACAACATTAGCTAAGTACATATTTGGGAATTAACTTAAAAGCATTATGTTATTCTAGAACAAATGACCAAATGTCTGAAAGAACTTATATTTATGTGTACTAATGATGCAACGAATAGTATATTCGGCCTCAGGCTGAATACCAAATATTCAGCCAGGAGCGTGTGTTAATCAAACTATTCAGCTTGATTAACACACATATGAAAATTGGCGCGCAAACTGCATTATGGCAAGGATTGCACACCCTGCTCTCTATTGGCCCGCTGTCACTATGCTTCGCCAATCGTGATAATTCTTGACAGTTGTAGTGGACAGACATGAGCATCATGGCAGTAGAGCACCAGGCTTTTGCCCGTGAAAAGGGAGTGAGACAAGGTGATAGTATCTCCCCAAAACTTTTTACAAATGTATTAGAAAGTGTTTTTCAATCAATGAACTGGGATAATAAAGATGTACTGATAAATGGAGACCACCTGACCCATCTTTGATTTGCTGACGATGTAGCCATCATTACAGATAGCCCTTCAGAGCTCCAGGACATGATTCAAGAACTTGCAAACAAAAGTAAAGAAGTTGGTTTAAAAATGAACTTGAACAAGACGAAAATTATGTACAACAGTTTTGTATGTGAAGAAACACTACTAATAGATAACATGGAATTGGAAAAGGTAGATGCTTACATTTACCTGGGACAAAGAATATCAATGGATGGCAACATCAAGGAAATAAGCAGACATGTAAAACTTGGCTGGAGTGCTTTTGGTAGGAATTGTAGTCTTGAAAAATCAACAGATGCCCCTGTGCCTGAAACGCAAGGTTTTTGATCAGTGTGTCTTGCCAGTTCTCACTTATGGATCAGAAACTTGGACTCTTAGAAAATCAGAGATCCAAAGACTACAGACTACCCGAAGGAACATGGAAAGGTGTATGCTTGGCATAACAAGGAGAGATCAGAAACGTATAACATGGATCAAGAAAATGACAGGAGTTACCGATATCATCGTTTGCAATATGACCAGCCCACTGCCTCTTGTGGCAGTGGGCTGGTCATATTGCAAGAAGAACTGATCATTGCTGGACATCTGAAGTTCTTGATTGGATATCTAGAGATCGGAAACGACCAAGAAGATGTCCTCACACTCGGTGGGTTGATGAGATCAAGAGACATCTTGGCACAACATGGAAGCGAAGTGCTCAAAACAAAAGATTGTGGAAGAGGCTTGGGGAGACCTTCATCCTGCAGTGGATTGATAACGGTTGATGATGATGATGATTGATTACATATTCGGTATTCGGGTGAATAGCGAAACACAGGCAGAATATCAAATAGTAACCGAATATTCATTGCATCATAAATGTGTACATTTTAATATACCAAAAACTATCATAAATGAGATTATTAATACAAAGAACATGGATTTGCTTCCTTTTCCATGCAAATGATTATTTGAATTGTACAGGTCTTTTGTGATATGCTCTTAATCACCTTAAGAAACTTTGTATAAAGTTACTTAATCTACATTTGTTAACATAATAGTACATTAGTTTTCAGCTATTTCTGTTAATTTATGTTTTTAATGTGATTAATTTTCATTCTTTATAGCACATCTACAATTGCAATGATTCCTTATATTTTTACAAAGATTTCTTTAGATATACAATTGTTGATATTTAGGATGTCTCATTTTAATCTTACAGAAATTATTTTCTTATTAATTGTATAAATTTTATGAAATTGTGTGTGACATGCTTTCAACTTTCCACAGGAATACAAATAGAATAGACTAAATAACATTTAAAACAGGATCTTGCTATAAAATTTTCGAAATTAATTTTTTAATAAATTACAAACTAATGATGGTATACACCAATATGAAGACAATTAGTCAGTTTGTTCATGTTAAATTTCCAAAAACATTTAATACTTCAAATGTTTTTAAATTTTATAGCATAGATGTTGAAAACACTTGAAACATTTTATTAAAAGTGTTTTTCATAAAAAAAAAAAAAAATACATTAAAAAAATGTTTGCCAGGACGAATTCACATATAGAAAAATATATTTCCTTTCGAACTATACATATAATTGAGTCCGAAAAAAAATATATTTTTCTATATGTGTTTTTCATAAATTTAACAATAAAAAACTCTAATTATCTAAATTTTAGTGAAGTAATTTTTTTTGCTTTATTTTGAAAATGTTAAAGCATATTTGCTTTAACATTTGCAAGTGTTTTATTCAAATATTTTTAAAAACTAAACTTACCATCAAATTCTGGAAAATAATCAACTAAATGTGAATGCATGATCTTCTCTTCTAATAAATCTTTCTTATTCAAGAAAAGAATGACAGAAGAATTTTGAAACCAGGGATAAGTAATAATGGTTTTGAATAATGCTTTGCTTTCTTCCATTCTATTCTGAAAACATTTTTAAATATAAATTTACAAAAAAATCTCTATAGCCTTCTACTATTTATGAAATTTTTAATATTCAATATATAATCATCTCCATTATTTTAACATAAAATGATTTAAAAACATTTTAATCTTCAAAAAAGATAAAGCATACTTTTTGTACAAATTAGTTTTTTAAAAAATTAGAAAGTATATTATTGTGTATGTTCTATCTAGACTTTTTGAAATCTTGATAGTGTGATAAAAATTGGAAAATAAGAATTCATATTTATGTATTTAGAATATACATTATAAATTGACTATATCAACACAATATTACAAGTTAAAATTTATACTACCTCATTATCAGATTCAAACAAAATTTGATCATATTCACTTAAGGCAACAAGAAAAATTATAGATGTAACATTTTCAAAACAGTGTATCCATTTTCTTCTTTCAGACCTTTGACCACCAACATCAACCATTCTAAATAAGTAAAAAGGAGAAAAATTAATGCAACTAAACTGAAAAATAGTATGTGAAATAAAATAATTTGTAATTTTTCATTTTTTATAAAAATTAAAAATAAAATAAAAAGATAAATATGTTAAAGTAAAAATAATTTTAATTTTAGTACAGTATAATAGTAAAAGTGTTAAGGCATAGAAATTTAATACATATATGATAAGAGATAACAAAAAAAATTTATCTAATTCATTAAAAATGAGCACTATTCTTTCATTGGAATTTACAACATACTGATAAAACTTTGAATTAAAATAAAAATATATAATAGTAAAATTATTATTAAATAAAGTACAGTACCACATAAAATTAATTACAGTAGATTCCCAAAAACTTGACTTAATGTGGATGAAAAGGTGATGAGTTACCAAAAACAATGAGTTATATGGCATTGCAATAATGCTAATTTAAACTGCAAATTTTCGTAAAGTTATTATATGTACAAATTCATGTATGTATTAACTACATACCAATAGTGAATATTTCTATTTGTAGTTAAAGTTTAATTAAAAAAAACTATTGACTATTCAATGGCTAATTTCAAGTTAGTGGCATTTTGAAGTGGCACCTTGGGAAAAAAGTTATATTCTTTGCTAACATGTGGAATTGATGCTATTAACAAGTGTCACCAATAAAGAATAATAACTTATTTGATCCTAGTTAGAGGTAAAAAAATTAGATTACATGCACTTTTTCCTTTGTTGAATGACACAAGTTTTATGGCATGTCTAGTTATTGAGTCAAGTTTCTGGGACTCTACTGTTTTTACAATTATATTTTTAAACAGAAATTACTTATTTTGCTTTGTTTTACACCAGTGTTGACAACAAGATAGCTCAATAGAGCCAACAGAAGATCTTAGGCAATTGTTATTACATAAAAACTTTGTAATTTTTGAAATTAGTACTCTGTTAAGTCAATTTAAGTTCATCAATTTTTCAAGTAACTGATTTTTGGATACTTGACACACTACTGTACTGTCAATTAAGTCATAATAGTTGATTTTGTCATCCATAAGTTGATATTCTCCTTACTTCATTAATATATTTTCTATTTTATTTTATAAATATTTTAATATACCACATATTTACTAAAACTGATAATCAAAAATTTATTGAGTTGATTAGAAAGTTCAAAGTAATTTTTAAAGAAAGTTGAAAAGAAAATTTTTGCATACAATTGATAATTTATTCAATAATGTAAGTACTTTTTTCCAGCTATTTACTTCATGACTGTTCTTGAAGAATTTCCTATTTTTTATGCAAAGAAATGCTTCAATGATTTTGCTATTCAATAGGGCATCAAAATTCGTCATTACAGAAATTTAGCAGACCAAAACAAATAAGAATTCAATCTTTTCTTAGCCATTTTTTCTCAAAAATAACTTAAATCATTTCCTCTGTAATTTAGTCATGTATTCTTAAAAAAGGAACAAAAAAGTGTTGCAAATACATCATAACTTATGAATGTATTAGAAGTGAATGCACTTTCCAACATCAAATGGTTAATTTTAATTAAACTAGGTTTGTAAAATAAGACATGAGATAGTCAAAGTCCCTTCAAAATGGGTCATTTTTGTTGCAACCAGTGATGAAGCACAAGTGGAAATATAATTTTTGTCAAATTATATAATTATTAGCATCATAGTGATGACATAATTAAGATGCTTTAATTGCTCAAATACAGTGCTATCTGATGTTTTCAGAATCTTAGTAATCTCTCAAATTATGTAGCATTGGTTATCTCTGATATCTTTACTTGAACAGTGAATGATCTGGTCAACATTCTTAAGGCAAAATGTTCTGACTTTAAAATACAAATACTATTGTAAACAATATTTTCACTCTTAACTATAGCATCTCCATACATTGTATAAATATTTTAAGTTTGTACATTTTTCTTACCTTTTAAATTGGTAAAAAGAGCATAGAGTACTGGAAATGCATTTTGCTTGTTTACTTTTTCTTCTATTTTTTAAATGCTATTAGAAAAATGAAACTCAATCAATATCATTACAATTTTCTTTTTAAATAACATTTTGAAATGTTACTTTTCTGAATAACTGAGAGGATTTGTGGTTACTTAGCATAAGTGGTTAATTGTAAGGATCATCAGGATACTACCTTGTTAAGGTGCTAGGTAAGGTGCTAAACTGAAGGGACACTGAAGCCAAACAGGCCTTTCATGAGGAACCAGACCAAATGTGTCAGAATCCAATAACTATGATGCAAACACATAAAACAAACCTTATACCAGATTAGTCACTGCAGGACAATAAGGACTAAGTCAAGTGTTAATAATATCTGGACACTTGGTGCACTTTTAGATCAAAGTGCATTTAAGCCTACTGGTCTGTGACCAGATAGTTGGTAAAAAATGGGCTACAAGACTCAGGAACTTCAACAAAATAGGGCATGCACTTTTTGAAACTAATAGGCAGAGCTAGTATTGGGCTTATGGATAGGTAGCTTCTGTTTCGTCTATCCCATGTGTATACAATGTTTAAAAATTGCTTTTAGTTATTTAGGTGTTTTTGAAATGCTGGTTAATTGTTGTTTGCCTCAGTGCCAACAATAAGAAATATCCAGATTTGAAATTTCATAAATTTCCAGATGAACCAATAAGAAAAAAAAAAAAAAGGAAGAAAAGATAAAGACTGTAAAGAAAATCAGTCAATAGCAGCAAGAAGAATTATAAAGATAGTTAATTATGAATAGTTTAGAATAATAATACTCTACAAATGTAAACATATTTTAATGAACAATTGAATGAAAGGTTATTACATCACACCAAGTTATATAAAAGAAAATCATTTTAACTTTTGAAATCTTAACAGTTTAACAGTGTTGAGCATTAATAACACAATGCTGAGAAATAGTGAACTTTCAAAGGCTAAAATTTTAAATATATATGAATTACAAGATGGTAGGAAGTTTCAGAGAAATAGCTACAATAATTAATCATTCTAAAACTGCTGTGACCAATATACAGACAAAACAAGAAAATTATGGAAAATGAAGAGAAGAAGAGAAGTAGATGCAAGAAAAAAATTAAATGACAGAGATAAACAAAAGGTTTTTTCCTTACTAAACACAAGTAAATTAGCAGCTATCTACTAGACAGATAGCTGCTAATTTATCAAAATCTGTGTCCCATCAGATGATATGGTGATGTTCATGATAACAACATAAAATATTGCAATGAAAGTGATACCTAATTTGACACCTGTTCATAAGCAACAAAGACTTCAATGGGCTAAATCTGTCATAAGCTGGACCAAGGAATGGGAAAAAGTTGTGCTTTCTGATGGAAAAAGTAGAATTTAGATGGACTAGATGGTTATGGATATTGCTGGTATGGTGTGGAAAGAGAAGCCAAATTAGAATAAGTAGTCAGTTAGGACGTGGCACTGTAATGGTTTGGAATGTTTTTGGATTCAATAGGAAAACTGATATTGCCATTGTTGATGAAAAAATAGATTCTTCAAAATATCAGAATATGTTAAAAAATAATTTAATTGTATTTGGACCTTTAATTAGTGAAAATAATTGAATATTTCAACAAGACAATGCTCCACTCCATGCATCAAAATCTACTAAGAGCTGGTTTATTAATGAAAACATAAAAAATGTATTAAATTGGCCTTCTAGAAGTCCAGATCTTAGTCCAACAGAAAATTTATGGAGCATAATAATAAAAATAGTTTATGGTCAAAACAAGCATTATTCTCAAGTAAACCAGTTAAAATTAGCAATTATGGATGCTTGAGAAAATATTGAAGTGAAACAATTGCAAAAATTGATTCAAAGTATGCCTGATAGTGTGTTTGATGTTATTTAAATGAAAGGCGGTCCAACTAAATATTAAATGATATGAACTTTTCCAAAAATATAGTGACCTTATAATTATGTTACATTCAAAAATGCAGTTAATTTCAAAAATAATGTAAAAATGTCTTAATTATCATCAAACATTGATAATTGATTTTTAACATTGTTTTGTGTTTATTATCATTATCTAAAATTTCAAAAGAATATTACAAATTGACATTGAGAAATTAAAACTAAATTGTTGTCCTCATAATTCTGTTACAAGATCAAAAATGAAAGTCAACAACTGTAAAAGTGTCAGTTTATACTTATTATTTTAAGCTTGTTACCTTTCAAACTCATCTAGATTTGGATATCTTAAAACAATGGCTTGCAGATTAGCAAAGATTTATAGAAAGGAATAATGAGTTCACTGAATTGGAAATTACACAAAATAAATAAAGGTCTAGTGATCAGAAAGTACAAAGAAATACTCAAGCAAATTCATAACAAATGATGCCAGATACTCAAGCAGAAGAAATTGAGATAACACATGAAGATGTAGAACAAAATAGAGAAGCACAACCAGAATATGAGTAGATAGCACCAGCTATACTCTGTTTCTAATAGCTTTATTGCCATTAGAAACAGAGTATAGCTGGTAGAGATTGCCAATTGATTAAAAGAAAAAAATCATTAAACATATGAATAAAGGACAAGATTGGAAAAGATTATTACAACAAATTTCAATGGTGACAAAGTATCTGACACAAGCCCTTAACAACTTGAACAAGGCTATTGTTGCTAAGGCTGTTGGGATGGCATCATTGCATGAAATGTACCAGCTTATATACTGTATTACAATAGTGATAACTGTAGAGTTGGGATATGAAATAAATAAATCTCTAAAAAGACAATATAGTAACACATCAAAATGGAAAATTAGACCAGAAAGGAAAATCAGAAGACTAAGGTCATATGCTAGCAAGCTAAAAGACAAAAAAAAAAAAAAAAAAAAAAAAAATCATCTTGATAACAGAAAATCAGAGCAGATGGTCAGAGAGTAAATTGTTGCAGTTTCAGTTAAGATGACTAGATATGGGATTGAACAGTTTAGTCAGAATCAACTTTTTATGATAAACCAAAGACACT